GAGGCAGTGAGGGAAGGAAAGTCCACGTTTTAGTCCATCCAGGCTGCTATGACAAAATGCCTTAGACCTGGTAATTTATAAGTAATGGAAGTATACTGCTTATAGTTCTGGAGATTAGAAAGTCCAAGATCAAGTTTCCCATAGATTTGGTGTCTAGTGAGGGTTCATTCCTTGCAGAAGGAGGGTACCTTCTATGTGGCTTCTTGTGACAAAAGAGACAGACCAGCTCTCTCAAGCCTCTTCTATAACGGTACTAATCTCATGCATGAAGATAGAGCTCTTAGGACCTAATCACCTCCCAGATGCCCCACATGCAAACACAATGGGGTTTATATCTCCACATAGGAATTATAGACTATAATGAGCAGAAATCTTTTTGAGATTGGTTTTTAAAGGGTCACCCCTGAGCCAGATGTGGTGGTGTATTCCTGTAATTCCAGCATTTGGGAGGCTGAAGAAGTAAGATCATTGTGAGTTATAGCCCAGCCTGGGCTACTAAGTGAACTCAAGGCTCTGAGCCCAGCCTGAACTACGTAGCGAAACCTTATCCCAAAAACACTAAATAAATAATAAAAGGTCACCCCCCAAACTCAGTCACATCAGGCATTTTTGCCTGGCAGGGAACATGGAAACCCCATTGAAGATCTCTACTCTTGGCACACCATGGAGTGCTGGATAAAAAGCACGTAAGTGTCAAGCTCAAGACAGTCTGGGAAGTCAAAAACCCCTTAGCCTAGTTTTGAGGTCATACTACTGCAGCACAGTTGACTACTCAGCCCAGATCGCAGCTCTCTTACTTGAGAAGTGTTGGCGTGTTGGGGCAGCACCAGTGCCCCTGAAGGCAGCCTGACAGGAGCCGTGTCTCAGACAATGCGTCCTCCTCCACCTTGAGGCAATGGCTCGACACCTGCCTGGCACGCAGTGGTAATGTCTGCGTCAGGATGGGAATCCTTCACTGTCTGCCCACCTGCGCCGGTGTGAATGTTGACATGGGGGGCAGTGAGGAGTCCAGGGAGCAATGGCAGCAGTTTAGGAGGTTCAGACCCCGCAGCCTGCTTTATTTTAGTTGATTTCATCAGAGGACATGCGGTGACCATGCAGAATGAAATGAGTAACTCAGGCATTTGGATCAGGAGCTGCAATTTGTATCCATTCTGTGGCCCCAAAAAAGGATGTCTTTAGCCAACCAGGCTGTAGTTTTCCTAGGTCATTGGCAGCAGCCCAAGTGTCAGTAGAAGTATCCGGAACTGTGAGCACAGCCTCTCAAGTCCTGCCCGGTGAAAGGACAGCACGTCCACTTTCAGATCTGCAAAGCTATGCTGGACACAGCTGCCACCTCAGCCCAGTGGACTCTGAGTGAGGGACCCGTGAACCAAGCCGCGCTCCTTCAGGGGATCCTGTGAGCCAGGAGCCCCTCAGGGTCAGCATTCTACTTTGAGCAGCAGTGTGGGGAGGAAACTTCCCCCAAGAGGTTTGTTGGCCATTTTTGCATCTAATCCTAAAACGCTCCTGGGACCAAGCCAGCTATATTTTTGGATATGCCATTTCCATTTGACAAGTGATAAGCCCATGGGTTTCTCTCATGAATAATCATGACAACACTTACAAACAAAATATTTAGCAAATTGAATCCATCGGTATATTACAACAAATTTGGATTTATCCCGGGGATGCAAATTGGATTAATACCCCAAAATAATCCATTGCCGGTCTCCTGCTTCCAAGAGCAGTGAAGTAGCTAATGGCAAACTTGCCTGTCTGCCCACCGCAGTGTGAGAAGAGAGACAACCACCGACATCTCCTTTAGAACAGTAACTAAGAGCTGCTGAGGCGCTGAGAATGGCTAAAGCTAGGAAGCTTAAGGTAGGAAAAGTGGGACGAGTGAGCCTGAAGCTGCAGGCGCTTTGCCCGAGGGATATTTGTAAATCTGAATGGAGAAAAGACGCCGGCATTGGGAGACTTCATGTGTGCATCTGCTTTGCGGTAAGAAGGCTTTGGGGTCTTTCTGTAACTTTGCTGAACACGGAGTGAGTAGCTAAAGACCTGTGCAGGAAGCCTTGGGAAACTGATCACCTTGGAACCACCGTAGGAAGGGCCTGCCAAGTACCACAAGCCCTTCTGTGAAGACAGAAACACTGTCTTCCTCTGCAGCAGAGGCAGGTGTATTGACTGCCCAGGGCAGAGGTTGGGCATGGGACCTTGCTGCCTGTTGGACAGTCTTGGGGTTAAGCTTAGGGTTTCTCGACTGTGACACGAACCCACTAAGTGCACAGTGTCCACCAGTGTGTGCGTGTGCAGCACCCTTGTGAGATTTGGGGTCAAGAGAAAGGACGCGAACTCCACATGCATGCTGCTTACTGTGCTGCAATAAAGTCATTGTCGCCAACCAGGAGTCTCCTGTTTTACTCCAGTGTCCAGGAAACCATGGCGTGCTATTTATTTAACGTGTACAAGGTAATGTAAAGTGATTACAGTGGTTAAGGGAACTGGCATGTCCTTCAGCTCATACAGTTACCACTTTTCGGTATGTAGAACATTTCAGATCTACTTTCTTAGCAAATTTCATCTCAAGTACACAAAACAGTATCTTTAATTATGGTCACCATGCCGTGTGTTAAATCTCTAGAGTCTTCTCATCCTGTTTGTCTTCTAATTAGTTCATTCACATTTAATGTAAGTACTGATATATGTTTATTTAAGCCTATTATCTGGAGCTAAATCCAAACCTACCATCTTGCTTGTATTGTGGTGTTTGTTCTCTCTCTCTCTCTCTCTCTCTCTCTCTCTCTCTCTCTCTCTCTCTCTCTCTCTTTCTCTCTCCCTGTCTCTGCCTCTGTCTCTCTCTCTGTGTCTCTGTCTCTGTCTCTGTCTCTCTCTGTTTTTCTCTCTCATACTCTTTTGAATGATTTAAGGATGCTTGTCATTCTGTTCCCTATTCTATTAGCTTGTTTGGGTGGTTACCCAAAAGTTTACCAAATGCACCTTGGAGTTACTGGCATTTGCCTTAAGTACATACTTCTACCATGTCCTGGCCAGTGTAAGGACCTTTGAATCTGTGTCATGTAGTATGTGCTCTCAACATTTGGGTTACGCTGCCATTTGTGTTAACCCCATAAATAATTGAACCCCCAGAGGCCTTGCTGGTCTCACTTCACACAGTCAGTGTGCATTTGCACTCTCCTTATTTCTTTTGTGTAGTCTGCTTCCACCCAGGACGGACCCTTTTCCTCCTGTGTTGAATGATTTCACTGCAGATCTAATGATAATAAATTTTCTTTAAATTTCTCTAAGGTACAGAATTCTAGATTGGCAATAATTTATTTTTTACCAAAAGAAACTTTGAACAGTAATATTTTGATAGGAATTGTACTTAAATCATGAATAAATTTGGAGGGAATTTGCATTTTTTTACTAGGTTCAGCCTTCCAATACATGGCCATGGTGTATCTCTCCATTTGTTTAGATATTTTATTTCCATCATCAGTATTTTATAGTTTTTAGCATACATGTACAAGTACTGAACATGTTATATTAGATCTATACCTACTATTTAATCTTTCCTTTTTTATTTTAAAAACAAAAAAGATGAAAACTATACAGAATTTTTAAAAATAATAGGAAATTAACATTAATTAATATATTGCATATTGTTATCTTAAAAGTAGTTGTTCAGATTACAAGATCCAGGCATGAAAGAATGATCGAACATTGAAAACACAAACTATTCTTTTTGATGAAGTAACAGATTAGTGGTATAGTTATCTATTGTGTGTGTATATATATATATATATGCATAAATATTTTGATTAATTATAGTGTTATGTTTTTTATCCAGATTTCTATGTATTCACTACATGTATGTAAAATACAGTTCATTTGTGGATCCCATATCTTGGACATTGACAAAATAATTTATTACTTGTAGATTTTTGTATCATTTTCTGCAAAAACCCCCATGTTATCTGCAAATATGGATTGTGTGAGTCCTTCTCTTCTAATCTATAACTACAGATTTATTGCTTTCTTACTTTCTTTTGCTAGCTAGGATTTTATTACTAAGTGGCCCCACAGTGGTGACAGTGGACATCCTTGCCTTTTCCTGTGCTTGGAGGTAAAGTGGTCAGTCTTCACCACTACATATAATACTAGCTCTGTGGATCTGGAGGTATTTTTATCAAGTTGAGGAAGTTTTCTTCTATTCCTGGTGTTATGGAAGTTTTTAATCATGAGTAAAAATTGATTTTTGTCAAATCCTTTCTTCCATTCATAGTATGATGGTGTAAATTTTTTCTTCAACAGTTTGTTAATATGGTTAATGCGCTACTATCATCATTATGGTGAATGTAAATTGATTGAATATCAAACATGGAGCCAACCTGACATCCCCATAACAAATCCCACCTGGTTGTGGTGTGTAATCCCCTGTATGTATTCCTGAGTGGATTTGTCTGTATTTGGCAGTCATGAGAAGTGTTAGACTATACTTCTTGGTGTTTTCTTCACATGGTTTTGGTGTCACGGTCATTCTTAGCACTTTTCTGGGGGAGACTGTAAGGACTGGTTTTGAGTGTAACCCCTTGTGTGTCCTTCTCGGTGGCTGTTATAGATGATGTATACACATATGGTACTAAAGTCTTCTGGTGTCATGACATAACCACTTTCAGTGCAGCATGGAAGCCTATTGGTTCCTTTTTCCCCACCATCCATAATGTAATTGTCTGAATATCTGCGATGAATATATTGAAACATGAAGGTACACAATATAGTTTTTTCTTCTGCCATCAGGTAGAATTTTGAAAACTCGAAGCAAGGAATACATAAAGTCATACATTCGTCCCTATTGTAACTCTGTTTTACTTGAGAAAGATAGCTTTAGCAGTCAGTCTTCTTACTGAAGTCTCTAGAAAATCCTCCACTAATATTTGCAATTAATTAGCAAACATGACTCCTGCCGTGCTGGCTTTTCTGGGCTTCTGTTCTGACCCTAACTTCTGTTCCAGGTCGCCTGAACTGGTGGTCCACGGTGTGCACGAGCTGCAAACGACTACTTCCTCTGGCCACGACGGGGGATGGGAACTGCCTGCTACATGCAGCCTCACTGGGTAAGCGCCACAGTGCAGGGGCAGGGTGGGAGGGCTTTCCATCTTCCAGTGCACGAGTCAAGCAAGGACGTAGGTTAGGTGGACCCACCCTGTCATTTAGATCTGAAAGAGTCCCCATGTGATGGAGCCAGCCCTCCTGGCCTTGGTCAAGCACCTGGCTGGGTTGGTAGTGAGATGTACCACAGGTGAAAACAGACCTGTAGTGACCTAGGAGGGCTTCAGCAGGAGCTCTGGGGACGGGCATTAGAGGCTATGTCCTGGAAGAGAGGAGGCAGAAACTCTACTGAGATTTGAAAAAATTGAGAGGTGAGGAAAGAGGACAGCACTAGTAGAGAGACCATGCAGAAGAGGCAAAATGATGATTTCAAGGCACAGTTTAGCTGCCCAAGGCCCCAGCAGGAAGTCTGAGGAGCAGAGCATGATGCTGGTTAGCTGTGGAGTTACCATACTCACAACAACCCAGTGTGAACTTGAACTGATAACAAGACAGCCAGATACCAAGTCACAGGGCAATCTGTGTAGTCAGAATACAGGGCAGACATATCAGCAAACTTCCACAATGGATGTCCCTAACCTAACCCTATCCCCTAAAATCTAACCCTAACCCTAATCCTAAACATAACTCTAACCCTAACCCCTAACACTAACCCTAACCCTAACTCCAGTCCTAACCCCAAGGCCACCAGTGTGGAGACAATTTTTTTTATGGGTACCAGGGATCGAACTCATAACCATGGGCTTGCAAGACAGGCACTTATGCCACTGAGCTAAATGCCTAGCCCCGAGGCAATATTTTGGAATGCTGGGATAACTGAGGGTCACAGTTGACTTTCTGGAAAATCAGTCTTTCTAAGTCTAGGCCCATTCTTATGTGCAAAAGGCCAAATCCATTCCAAAAGGCAAGTTGAAACTTGTACCTGGGCCCTGACATTAGGCCAATTCCTCTCTTCAGTCTAGAAGTATAGAATCTCTGTCCAAGGCATGGAACCCTCAGAGGAGAACATGGTCCTTGTTGATCAAACACGCTAGCCCAGGTGGTACCCAAAGCAAAGGCCAGGCAGGTTCCAGACCTCTTGACCTGCAGTGAGGCTGTTCTGTAGGAGGCAGGCTGAGGTCAGATTGTAGAGGGCTCAGAGGGGGAAGCATTGGGGTTCTGGGACAGACCCAGAGAGGCCCAGAGAAGGGAGACAGGGGCAAAGGGGGGCTTCCTGGACTTGGAGAAAGTGGTGGGAAAGACAAAGGCATCTGCTTGACTGTTCCCTTTCCATGACAGAACCAGTGCATGCTGTTTGGGGGCATTAAAAGTATTCTACATCCATCATGGGAGGAAAATAAAAATCCCTAATCCCACCACCTCATAATGGCCACTTTGACCATTTTGGTATATCATCTCCTGGTCTTCGGTGTGTGCTTCTATAACCTGTATTCACAGTTTAAAATCCAACATTCTGAAGAATGCTTAAAGTACAGTGCACTTAAGATTTTTAAGTGAACTGTAATTTTTATTAACACATAATAATTGTGTCTATTGGTTGGAGTATAATCAAGTTCTTTAGAGAAGTTTCCATGTTATTTCTTTCCAAAAACATTATTTTAGTAGTTGGTCATATTTCTGTACAATACTTAATCTTAGCTATCTTGCTGTTATTGGATATATTTCACCTTGTTTTCAGTAAAATCTGGGGGAGACAATATGACAGAGGTATCTCTGTGGGGTCACACAGCACCGTTTTACAGTCCCAGGCAGAGAAACAGCTTCGTCCTTCAGACGCTGCAGGGCCTGCTCCAAGAATCCCCCACACAGCAGTGAGCTCGGATGCCATAGGTAGCTGGTGCTTTTATCTCGGTGTAGATTGAGCTTCCCTAAGCTGAAAATTCAAAATCTGAAATGCTCCAATATCCAAAACTTTTTAAGCATCAGGGTGACTCCACACATGGCAAACTACACAATCGAAGCTCATTTCAGGCACAAAATATTGTGTAAATTTCCTTCAGACTGTGTGTGTAAGCTGTATGAAACATAAATGAATCTCACATTTAGACTTGGGTCCTATCGCCAAGATATCCTATGGTGTATAAGCAAATATTCCAAAATAAAAACATTTTTAAAAATATTCCATAAAAAAAAACATTAAAAATCTGACACACTTTTGGCCCCAATCAATTCAGATAGGAGATTCTCAGTTTGTACCTTTATTTTCATAATGTGCTTGCATCACTAAACTCCAAGGGCCAGGATTGCCTGCAGCAGCCATGGCATAGTCACCAGCAGTGCTGTCCAGCATCTGCTGACCAGGCCTGAGAGAAGTGATAGTGACCCAAGAGCCAGGTCTGCAGGCAAACATGCAGGACCAGGAGGCTCCGTGTGTGAGTGCAACCTGCTCAGCAGCCTTGGAACCCAGGCAGGCAGCTGGAAGCATAAGGACCATGATGGCCATTTCCCCCATGTGTCTGTCCTGCAGAGGTAGACAGAGGCATGGCCTGCTAGAAAGCCCATGGCAGTCTCTGGTTACCTCACCTCATGAATAACAGCCAGCCTCCCCTTTGCAAACAGCGGTCAGCTCGGGCCACACTCTCCCGAGGCTCTCAGCTCACTTAAAACTCTGCCTGCTTCCTCTGCCTGACCCCTCCAACCTGTCTCTAACCACCTTGTCTTCCTCCTGCCTTTCCCAAGTGTACCACACAGACCACCCCTTGGCAGAGTCCTCTAACTGAAATGGCAGCTAATCTACCACCCATTCCAGCCTTCGCCCTGATGCTTCCATGCCAGTTTACAAAATAGCAGTGCACCCACCACTCTGTCCTCTTCACCTTCTGTTTCTCTCCTTGGACACTGGCACCTTTCACACAGAAGCCTCACTTCCCCCTTTCCTGCTATGTGTGTTTTATGAGATTCAAGAATTGTGTATGTGCTGGTCCCTGTCATGCATGTTCCTAACATTTGAGTAAGTGGGTGGGTAGATGGAGAGATGGATGGATGTTTGGATGGATGGATGGATGGATGGATGGATGGATGGATGGATGGATGTTTGGATGGATGGATGTTTGGATGGATGGATGGATGGATGGATGGATGGATGGATGGATGGATGTTTGGATGGATGGATGGATGTTTGGATGGATGGATGGATGGATGGATGGATGGATGGATGGATGGATGGATAGATGGATGGATGGATGGATGGATGGATGGATGGATGGATGTTTGGATGGATGGATGGATGGATGTTTGGATGGATGGATGGATGGATGGATGGATGGATGGATGGATGGATGTTTGGATGGATGGATGGATGGATGGATGTTTGGATGGATGGATGCATGGGTGGATGGATGGATGGATGGATGGATGATGGATGTTTGGATGGATAGATGGATGGATGGATGTTTGGATGGATGGATGGATGTTTGGATGGATGGATGCATGGATGGATGGATGCATGGATGGATGGATGGATAGATGGACAGATGGACTCCACCATTATTTCTCCTGAAACCAACCTCACCTGCACCTCTTCAGTCTTCTCCCATCACTTGGGTTTCTAGACCACACCTGAGTGGCCCCAAATGTACTCAAAGATGGTGATGTGTCTTCAAAGCCCCTCAACACCCAGCACTGTAGGATGCCTCTCTGAGAGGTAGGCACACCCTGCTGGCCCAGATGTATGCAAGTGTGTCTACTGAAGCTTCTTGGAAGTTGAAATGCTTGAGAACTGTAAACATCAGGTCTGACAGGCCCTGGGGGAGTCAGGATGTTGCTGGAAATCCTGGAATGGGGTGCTAGATGATGGCATACCACCAACTTACCCCCAAAGGTTAATTTCCCACCCAAACACCAAAACCTGGACAGAAAATAGAAGGTCTCTCCCAGCAAACCTGTTAGGTTGAGAGCTGGTAGTCACAGATGCTGGAGAGAGGCAGATTCACTTTCACCTCCTGTTGTTTCATTAAGAAGGAAATGAGCTGCTCCATTCTCCTCCCTAAGCTGAAGGGAAGCACTGGGAGAAAAGGAAGAGGGGGCAATCTCTGAGTCTGTGACGAGAACTGAATGAACAGAGGTACGTCCGCACAGACGTTCATAGCAGGATGCCTGCTGGGTCATGGCTTGTCTCTTCCTCCTGTCCTTTACCTCCCCTCTCTGCCCTCTGCCCCACTGCAGGAATGTGGGGTTTTCACGATCGAGACCTAGTTTTGCGGAAAGCTCTGTACACCATGATGAGGACGGGCGCTGAGCGAGAAGCCCTGAAGCGGAGGTGGAGATGGCAGCAGACACAGCAGAACAAGGAGGTTGGTGCAAGTGCAGCCTCTGGCCGAAGGTCTTGGAGCATCTTGTGAGGCCAGACAGGGGTGGCCACAGGGCCTGACCACCACCTGTGACAGAGGACCTCATTACCACAGCACAGCCCTGGGGAGTGGTGGCCACATGCCTATTTACGCCTCCCACACTGGCATAATTAGGAAGCACATCAAGTGCAACCTTCAGCCCCAGCTCCTGTGTGTAAGCGCAATCCAGAGGACCCCAGGTTCCTCCCATGGTGGACACTATCACTTTGCTCTCCTCAGAGAGTCTGCCTGCATGCTTTCTGAGTCAAGCCAGGCCCTGCCCTTTAAAGTGTGTCCTGGTCAGCCCCCAGCCACACACACATGCAGCTGCCCATGAAACTTTCTAGGGGTGGACTCCCCCGATCAGCTCTGCAGTGAGAGACTGAGGCTTCTGAAAATACCCTGTCCAAGCAAAGTAGGACCACTGAGGGCCACCGTCAGATGTGGCCAACCCCCGGGGCTCCTGGGGCTTGGACCAACCCACATGGTCCAGAGTGGCTGTGCCTGGGAGGAGTGAGGGGAGGTAGATCAGGCTGGCATGGCCTGCCCACCTCCTGACCTGGCTTCCCTTTGTGCCAGTCAGGGCTGGTGTACACGGAGGAGGAATGGGAGCGAGAGTGGACGGAGCTGCTGAAGCTGGCGTCCAGTGAACCACGCACGCACTTCAGCAAGAACGGCGGCACTGGCGGTGGGTAAGTGCTACCCCTGAGCACCCCAGAGCTCACTCATGCTCCTTGCAAGCCTGGGCCTCTCCCAGACAGCATGAGGGAGGAGGTTCAGGGGCAGCGTGGTACTTGCAAGCTGTGGCAGATGAGATTGCAGCTTACAATTATTAGCTGCTAAGCAGGGGTTCCAAAAAGGTTTCCCACTTCCAGCGTACATTTAGGGACAGCTTGTTCTTACAGACGTTGGTTAAATGTTCCGGTGTATGAATGAAGAACTGGCCAAATGGGGTGGCCACAGAGCCTCTGGCCATGGCCTTTCAGAGGGTGTGTATTCAGTTTCTGTTCAGCCCCAGAAAAGGTCTCAGGCAAACGTAAGAAAGTGTGACTGCTGACACTGCAGACCTGTAGGGGAACAGAGACTCTGAAGCTCCTGGCTGGTCAGGCTCACAGACCCCGAAGCAGCCATCTGGGTGCTCACTCTACCCCAGAAGGGCCTGGCGCTTCAGGTCCAGCCCTCACCCAAAGCCCAGGACTGGAGTTCAGGCTGCCACATGGCCTGGGGCAGCATCAGCAGCTGGGACTAAGCCAAGAGGAGCCTTTTCCACACAGAAGCCCAGAGATGCAAGCCCATAATCCCTGCAGGACTGCTCTGTACATTCGTTGTGATGATGTTCATGTCCGCATGCACAGGCCACTGTTTAAGAACAAACACACTCGAATGCTTGGAGACAGGTGATTGGTTCCTGAAAACTCAGCTCCTTTTCCCCCATCCTCCTGAGTCCTGCCTCAATGGGTCCCCAGTGGTCTCAGCATCCCTCTCACTGTTGCCCCTCCTGCACCTGATGCAGGGCAGACATCTGATAGATGCTGGAGGATTTGATCCAGTCTGGGTATTTCTTCCAGGGTGGAGGGAGCAGCAATGAGGAGGAGGAGGAAAAGAGAAAGAAAGCCTATACTGTCCATGTTCTGTGGCTATAACGAAATACCTGGGGCTGGGTACTTATGAAGAAAAGAGGTTTATTTAGCCCATAACTTTGGAGGCTGCAAGTTTCCAACAGTGTGGCCCTGGCGAGAGCCACAGTGACTGTATCCCATCAAAGCCGGCGATGCTATGCAGAAGTGCATGCAAGAAGAAGCCAGCTTATGGAAATAGAGGAGGTGAGGTTCAGGGCATTGCCAGATGCATTTGTTTCCTTGCAGCCCTCTAGAAAGAACTAACTAGGGATCCCACAAAAGTCACCTCATCCGTGTGGTGGGGAGTGCCCCCAGTGAGTTACTGCCCTCCTGCTGGGCCCAACCTCTTAAAGATTTCACCACCTCCCAGCATCCACACATGAGGATCGAGCTCCCAACACATGAGCCCTTGGGATCCACTCAGTCACACAGAAACCACAGCAGGGTGTAGTCACCTGGGCCACGCCCTCTTAGCACCCCATGTGGCAGGGGCTTTGATCCCAGTGCCATGGCTAATTCATCCCTTCCAGCTTCGAAGGCCACAGCTCCAGCCCTCACTGCCTGCTCCCTGAGGCCAGAAGGGAGTTAGATGGACGTGGGAGTGGAGGAGCATTGGGGTTCACCCCTGTCTCCCTGCCACAGCCAGAGCAGGATGGCAGCACTGAGGGCCTGCTCATTGATAGAAAGCAGCCCCTGTTCTCTTTTGTTCTTTTCTTCCCCTGCCCCCCTCCTTAATCGCTGAGAAACACCTTGGTTTCCTCCCTCACAGACTGGAAAACTGAGCTCACAGGAGGTGTCAGCTCGAGATGCATGCGGCCCGGTCCTAAATCCCAGCTTCACTAAGATTTCATTCCCTTGTATTTTGTCACCTGATTCTGACCACAGCATCCTCATAAGGCAGCCTAGTCGAATGGCTCCTTTTGATTCTATTCCAAAGCCTAGGTTAGGGGGAGTGTATAGAGCCAGGGCCAGGAGGCGTGGAGCTGAGCATGTTCACATATACACACACGCACACACACAGACACACGAAATGCTCCTCCCAGGCCTGTGACAGGGTGAGTGGTATAAACACTCATCTTCCCGCACAGCTTTTAGCCAGAGCAGGACAGTCTGGCTTTCCATGAGGACCCGGATTCCTTGGTGACCAGAAAAGGGTTAAGGGGCTAATGTGAATTCGAAATGTCATATGCTGATTACATATGATGTGTCAAGCATCTGAAATTACCATTAGCATCACCAAACACAGATAAGGAAGCTGAGATTGAAAGGCTGAGGTTATATGTTAGTCAGAGTTCCCCAGAGAAACAGAAAAAGCATGCATCCCTACCCCACTGCAGATGTGTATAGGTGAGCATACATCCCTATGTACCTCCTATTATAGATTGTGTGAATACACTTGAATATATATACATATATGTGCAGGTGTGTACACACATGAGTGCAGAGTCTAAGAAGCCCCACAACCTGCTGTCTGCAGCAGGAGACCTGCCTCGAAGTCCAAAGGCTTGCATGCTGACACCTGACAGTGCAGGCTCCAGCCCGGGTCTGAAGGCCTGGGAGGCAGCGGTGCCTCGCAGGGATCTTTATCTCAGCTTACAGGGCCAGGCAAAGAGCAAGTCCAGCCTTCCCTGCCTTTGGGTTCTGTTCTGTCCTCCCATCCCTCCCATCCCCTATGCAAATGCCAGTCTCTCTCAGAAACACCTTCACAGGTACAGGGGCAAGGACACTTCGGAGCAGCTGATCCACAAGGTTCAGCTCCCAGGTTAACCCCAGGGCTCCACAGCCATAAGAGGCAAAGCCAGAATCCAAACTTGCCACATGAAACGGTTCACACTCTTGGAAAATGCAAAACAAAGATAAAGAGTGGGAGTCAACAACTTATCTTGAGGGTTGTGGCGGAAATCACCCCTTTTGTTCTTTGAGCTTTTTAAAAGCACAGCTTGTTTCTCTGATGAGACTGTGTTCATGGAAACCAAGAAGCCAGGGGGATGCAGAGGAAATGTGATAGAGAAGGGGGCCTTTTCCAGGAAGCAGGCTGCTGGTGAATAACTGGTGCCTTCCTTCTTGGTTCTGTTCATTAGCCCTCTTGTTGGGGTTCCTAGACTTGCATCCCTGTGTACACATGTGGGCACACAGAAACACACAGTGCACAGATAATAGCATTTGTCACATAAATGACCTCAGATTATTGATTCTGAGCTGTATGACGGGTCCTCACCCTCAAGCCACACTGGTCCCGGCCGGAAGCTCCAAACCCGCTGTGTGCCTTCAGAGTGCCGGGAGGGTCCATAATCCTTTGGTCCTCACTTCCAGGTTGTAGCTCTTAGCAGGGCCCTTGCTAGCCTGCCACTGTGCCTTTACAGCCTCTTTGGAAAATCTGCCTCTCTGTGCAGATGCAGGCCCATGGCCAGCCCCTGCCTAGGTTGGTTCAGGGATCGTCACAGCCCTTAAATGCCGCCAGTAGGGTCCATGCGAAAACAGGACTGTGTAACTGTGGAAAGAGGCGTGAGGCATCCCCACACACGGCACTGGACGGGCCTGGGGATGCACCAGACAGGATAACAGGGTCAGGATCACAAGGATAGGACCTTACCTTTACAGTGTGGGAAGCATAGTGTGTACCCCTAGGTGCTCATTCCTCTACATACACATGCATTTACATTTTAAATGTACACCCCCACACATACACACCCCAATAAATGCATCCCTGTCCTATCATGACTATAACTTTATTATCCACACTGGTTCATTTCGGGAATGGAAAGTGGGCACTGTGCACTTAGGATGTATGAGGCAAAACAAGAGATGTGGTCATCCCACCCGGAGAAGAGACTCGGGATGCTGACCCAGGCTCCCCTCTGCAGTGATTATATTTGATGAGATGGGCCTTCGCCCCTCCCCAGGCAGCTTCCTTGATGATGCCATGGGCTGTCCCTGAGGTGTTCTCTAAAAGCTGTGGCCACAGCTTAAGCGAGGACACCGCCAAAGCTGCGCCCTGTTCTCTGGAACCTGGCATGTCTTCCAGGCCTTACCTCACTGCATTTGCTTTTTGGTCCTGCCAAAAGGGGTCCCCAAACCTGCCTCTGCTCAGAGCCCCTTATTCCCTTCTTCCTCCAAGCATTTTTATTATGTGGGTGTCCTCTGTCCCTATTCTCACGAATTCTCCCTCCTCGGGTACACATGGAAAAAGAGGAGGCAGAGGCCCCAGGGAATGCAGGGCGCACAGCAGAGACCAAGTTAGGAAGTTGCTAGGCTGTGAACATCTTTGAGAATGCATGTTAGTTTCTTTTGCAGTAAATACCAATTACTAAGCACTTCAGAATTTTCTGTGTCTTTTCTCAGAAGCCAGAGTCTATTCTCAGTCTTAGGGATAATTGTTGATAGCTCACAGAAACAGAACTGATGCTGCAAAGCTACAAATGGAAGTCAACTTTCAGAATTGGTTTTGCTGGAGCAGATTCCTACCAACGGGCTATAGTAGCAGTAACACTTCTGCAGGTCACAGTGGTGAGCCTGAGGAGGAACTTGGTATTCTCTAGCAGCATTCAGTGCCAAGGCCCTCAGAAGCTCTGGGATATGGTCATGCCTAGAACAAGGGTGAAAGCAGAGCCAGGAATCCCTTTAAATCTTGTGACAAAGGGGTGCATACAGTAGGGAAAGGCATCATGACACTCAGGCTGCCTCAAGGTGGAGCTGAAACCACCCTGCCACCTCCTGGGTCACTGAGCAGGTTCTCTGTTGTTGAGATGGCTCCCATGCTCCACAGCTTCTGCCCTGTCCGGCCATGAGACTGTGTGCCATGCGTGGCCCAAATGCATGCTCTGGCCCTGGAATGGAATGGACTGATGGGTACGTGGAGACAAGTGGGGGGCAGATGGATAAATGGATGGATGGACAGATGAATGGATGGAAGGATGGATGGATGGATTGATGGACAGATGGATGTGTGGATGGATGCCAGATGGATGGATGGATGGATGGATGGATGGATGGATGGACAACAGATTGATGGATAGATGGATAGATGGATGGATGGAAAGATGGATGGGTGGATGGATGGGTATATAGATGGATGAATGGATGGATAGATGGACAGATTATGGATGGATGGATGGGTGGATTAGGGATGAATGGATGGATGGATGAACAACAGATGAGCAGATGGATAGATGGATGGGTGGGTGGATGACATATAGATGGACAGGTGGACGGATGGATGGATGGATGGAAAGATGGATGGGTGGATGGATGAACATATAGGTGGATGGATAGATGGATGGGTGGATGGACAGATGAATGGGTAGATGGATGGACATATGGATGGATGGATGGATGGATGGATGGATGGATGGAGGGATGGACAGATGATGGCTGGATGGGCAGATGGATGAATGATGCAAGCTGAGGGCAAGAATTACCCAAGGGCCTCTGCAATGCTTTTCCAAGATCAGCACATAGTAAGTGCTCAATGAAGGTCTGCAGTGTTTTCAGCTTGAAACCCAATGACCATGCTTTCAATTTTGTGTAAGGAGAATGTCTTGCAAGCCCCCTGCTGCCTAACGCTTAACCCTTGCCCTTCCACATAGTTATTCAGATGCCCGAATGTAATGATGGAGTGAAGCCCTTTCACCAGGTCTCCCTCCTTTTCAGCATTAATATCTGACTCAGACACGTCATCTCTTCCCCCTGCTGACTTCTGCCTTTGTGTAATTAGAGAAGGAACAGTGCTCCCCACTTCTCTCTACGTTTTTCTCCCTAATACGCCAGTTGTAGCACTATATTCTCTCTTCTTTGTGCTTCTTGTTACCTTCTGCTGTCATCTATTTGCCTGGCACTTAGTGAGCACTTCCTGTGTGACAGAGATGAATGTGCAACTTCTGGAGGTGCTGCACCCCAGACACTTACACTCTTGGCTCTCGCTGTAGCTGGGAGGATAATCACAGGGGGTGTGGAGATGCACCCCGAGCACTGTGCTTAGACCTGGCATACGTGTGTATACCACAGGTGTCAACTCACTCATATAATGCAAGACCCTTTCAAACATCCTGATTGCTTATAGTAACAAAGGTAATATAAAAGCTGTATAAATAGTTTATACTATGTTGTCTAGTGAATGATAACAAGGGGGAAGACTATTTCTGTTCTGCAGTTGGTTGCAGACACAGACAGATGACATATTTAAATCAATACATGTTTAAAACATTCTGTGTCCCTCCCTCCCTCGGAACTTTTACCTTCAAGCCATTAGGTAGGGCTGGGAGTAGCAACACATGCCTATAATCCCAGCTCTCAGGAGGCAGAGGCTGGAAGATCTCTGGGAGTTCAAGGTCAATTTGGGCTACACAGTGATATCCCATCTCAAAAAAAAAAAAAAGCCAAAGCCATTTGAGCATTGCAGGGTGGACACCTCAGCAGCTGGCAGATGGGAAAGCATATAGGACCAAAGTTACAGGACAACCTACACAGAGTGGAATCTCTCACAGCAGAGATTGGAAGAGATTGCTTCCATATAGGCAGACTGATCCAATAAGAAACAAGTGATTAATAAAAATGAAGTTTCCTTCTGTTGGAGAAGGAAATTTTAAGTATAATGAACTTTGTAAATTTAGACTGAAATAGAAGATGTTGGTGTACTTGTGGTTTCATATAGATTTTGAGGCAGATTATGATTGATGTGAGAGAGGGAGAGAGAGAAATATGCGGATGTATGTGTGAGCATGAACATTGGCCACTTCATACCAGGAAGCAAAAGAGTGTCTTACAAAATGAAAAGAGGATGTCACAAGGACACAGACCTAGCTGAAATAGGCCACACTGACCAAATTAGTGAGTATTTGAACATCAAATATCACAAATGGATTGCAGCCCACTGATTAAAATAAAAAACTCATGGTGATCCCAGTAAATAATTGAAGATTTGGGAAGGAATGCAGCACAGTGTCTGCCTGTGTTCACAGTTCCTCCTCACAAAGTGCTTGTGAATTACAAAGGGGAAATGAATGCTTCGCAGGGATGAGGCCAGGCAGAGGACCCTAGAGCATGACCAAGTTCCCATCATCTGTGAGGGGACGACATGCAGGTCAGCCCAACCTGATAGACCACTTTTAGCAGGACTCAGCAGGACTCTAATCTAACCATAACGAAATACAGAAACCCAGATAAAGGACAGTCTATCAAATGCCTGGATTATAATCTTCAAGGTTGTGAAAGCCAAAGAAATCCTAAAACATATTCCAGGCTGAAGGAGACTAAAGAAACACCACTGCTAAGATGATATGGTGAGCCTTAGTGGACACCTTCACTCTGAAAGGCACATCACAGTGTGTGGGGTCTGGTGATCAGAGGCAGCCATATGAATTCCTGACTGTAATGGTTGTATGTTCTTGTCGGGTAGAAGAATGTCCTGTCCATAGATCATATCCTGGACTCTCTCAGACTACCTTGAAACTTGTCGGTGAGTTTCTGTGCGCTCCAAATTTTTTTGAACTATTAAAGTAATTTGAATAACAACAAGTTAGAATAGTCATGAATAACTGTAAGAAGGTGTGAGGGACCACCCAGACTGTGTAATTCTACACCTTGTAAAGGCAACAAAGTGTAGAATTTATTGTGCCTGGATGCAGGCAGACAGAGGGCAAAAAGGCCATCTGTGTGGAACAAAGAGAAGTGGGCTTTTTTATAGGGATTGAAAGAAAGCTAGGGACGTTAGGCAGGAAAATGTTGATAAACATAAGTAATCTAAATTCTCTGGTGTCCTTGCACCTTGCTGGGTAAAGTCCTTAAGGGCGTAGTATAAATTTTCCGGTGTGTCCAGATGTCCAGGGACCTGCAAGACTCCTTGTCCTGTCTCTTTTATGACATCTTGTGTTTTCTGAGGACAGTCTTGATGCGGAGCTGGGTCCCTGCTGAGAATAATGCCTCTGCTGGCAAACAGGTTGGGGGCTGGGAGAGTCCCTTTGAGTTGAGCCTCACAGTAATATCCAAACTCCCTGGGTGATTGCAATGCATTTCCTAGGATCTGCAGCCTTTGATCCGTCAGTAATTGGGTAACTGGCTGAGAGCTGTTTCCCCCAGGCCACACCACGCACTGCAGCTGACCGCTGGCATCTGCAGAATTAGTTCTAAGGCCTTAGTGAATACCGAAATCCAAGCATATCCACATCCTTGCTGTAAAACGCTGTCTCCTCCCACTCACTTTAAAGCATCTCTAAAGTACTTCCCATATGGAATGCTAGTTATGGCTACAGTGTCTTTGCTCATGTGATTCAGGGTAGTGCTTAGAACATAGCAAATTCGTTTTCCTTTTGTGGAATTACTAGAATTACTAGAATTTAAAAAAAAAAAAAAACATAAGCATGCTTTCAACCCGTGGATGAGGATCCCATGGATGCAGAGGGCTGACTGTCTTCTTAAAGAGGCCTACATTCACAGACTCAGGCCCTCTCAGCTCCAGTCTGCAAGGGCCTTCCTCAGCCAGCTCTGGGAATTCCCAAGAACAACCCCAGAGCCACCTGAGTTTAGGCTGGGCACTGCCCCAGGCTGGCACTGAGGGTCTAGCTGAGGTCCATTGCATAGTGAGTTCTAATGTCTCCTCCAGATGCTTTTCCCTTTGAGAGTGGTCCTGTTGTTAGAGACACCCAGGTCACAGTCCTGTGCCCAGATATCTTAGCGTTTAAGGGGCAGCAGTGCTCAGAACCCACTTTTTCCCTGAGCATCAAATAGATGCTATTGCCCAGGTCAGGAGGAGTCCAAGAAGCTACTTCCTGCCTCTGCTCTCAGGAAGGAAGTCCAGGCCACCTACTGACTGACTTCTTCTACCCAGTATTTCCTAGAGGGCTTCTCAGATCTTGGTAGTAATGGAGCCCACCAGCCAGGGCTCAGATGTGCCCAGGCACCCAGGAGGCCCCAGGAGGCTTCAGCCTCATCTGCATGTGTGGAAATGAACAGAAGAGGAGGCTTCAGCCTCTGAGGCATCCTTGATAAACATCCCAGAGAGCCATGCCCCTGTCAGGAGACTGCTTCATCTGCAGCACCACCCTGACTGCCCCTGAAGAGTGGGCGGCCACCCTCACTGAAGAGTGCTCTCCAGCTCCTTTCCTGAGACTGCCCAGCCCGGGCTGCTGGCATAGAGTGGGGACCTGTGTGTTTGTTGTTGGCACATGGTGCAGGAGGTGACCTCAATGGTCCTGGAAACAGGATCCAGCACAGGCGGTGCCCAGTCCCCACCCAGAGCTCTCTCCTTGTCATCACCCCTCACCCTCGCAGTCTAGTCCAGTGACCGCTGACTCTCTCTCGTTCCCTAGCGTAGACAACTCCGAGGACCCTGTGTACGAGAGCCTGGAAGAGTTCCACGTTTTTGTCTTGGCCCATATCCTGAGAAGACCCATCGTCGTTGTGGCAGACACGATGCTGAGGGACTCAGGAGGAGAAGGTGAGACATCAGTGACTATTTAATCAGGGCCCAGCAGGTGTGGCATCCGCTGAGAGGACGGGCAGCATCCCGTGAAGGCCCAGCTCTTTCTTGGAAGGCCCCTGCGTATCCCTCTGTGCAGACTCCTCCTGGTGGGGGCAGGGATTGCGCTTGGTCCTCCTCCCTCCACACCACAGCAGGAAGTCATGAGAAATCTGGACCGAGGACTCCAGAGACAGCAGTGCTATCCCAGCACTTCCTAGCAAGTCCCGTTTGCTCCTGCCTCCCTGCAGACTACACATGTGTTGGAAAAAAGAAAAAAACAAAACAAAAAAAAGGCAAAGCATGAGGTCCCTCGGCTGGGTGGTGGCAGAGTCAGGACTCTCAGAGAAAGAGGCAAGGACAGGGCAGGGCTGCTTGTCACCGGCCACAGGGTGCAGCCCCCTTCCCCCTGGGCCAAGCCAGACTCTGCCTCCTCACGCTATGGATGGGGAAACCGAAGCCTGGCGAGGCCACGTGCAGCGCAGCAGGGAGTGACCCACCACATGTCCGCTTCCAGCCTGAGGCTTCCCAGAGGCCCAGGAGCAGTAGTGAGGGTTCCCTGGGGGCCCCACAGTGCTGACCACCCTCTCTGATGAGGAAGGAAAGAGGAAGAGTTGGGGACGGGGACCAGGAGAAAGTGCTGTCCCTGGCCCCCAAACACCTGCCCCCACTCAGCTTTCCTCAGCCTCACCTGACCTCCAGCCACTGCCATCATCAGGAGTCTGTCCCCTCTCACCACCATGTGTCCTTTTTTGTCACTTCTAAAGATGACATCATCCACAGGAAGGCCAGACACACGTTCCCAATGACATGTCCCTGCTCCACTAGGATTTAGACCTGCACCCTAATGAAAGCAGTAGCTTTTCTAGAGCATTCCACCAGTTACGCTATAGCTCTGCATGCTGGATCCACCTGCCAGAGAACGTCCACCATGGCCATGATGGTTCGTGCTGCCTGGTGCCCCTCCTTCCCTGGGCACTCGGGCGCTTGGGCCTGCTGAGGGCTGCAGCTCTGAGTGCACGGCCGATATGTGCTCACGCTGCTGTGCAAGCCAGGAGCCAGCTCCCAGGGCAGCACTGGGTGCAACAAGGGCCACGCTCCCTTCCCCTCTGCCTGCATCTGGCTTGCAGCTGGGCCCTTCTGCTCTTAGCAAGAGTCCTCTGCGGGAAGAACTGCACTGACCAGATGAAGCAGGGTTATGAAGGGGACCAGGAAATCATCAGAGCTGTTGCCGAAGGCGACTGTCCTGCCTTCTGCTCAGAGGAGCACAGCAGAGGCAGCATTGTTTATGGTCAGAACACAGATGCTGCTGCTGAAGATGCTGGCAGGTATCTCCAGAGGTGGTTGGTTCTCTCTCAGCAAGAGTTTGGACTTCCCTTCTTAATCTGAGTTAGGAAACAAGACTGTGTCTCATCATGGAACTTTGACATCCACGCTTCTCACTTCCTGTGACGTACAGCCCGTCCTGGAGCTGGCCGTTGGTTCCTCCCCATTCCACAGGAGGGGTTCTCAAAATAGACTAAACATGCTCTGCAGAAGCATAGACATTGTATTGTGCGCTAACATTTTATACCCAAGAGAGGAAATTGTACACCCAGACACACATGGGCTTGGGGCCAGCCACCAGAGCGGGTCACTGCTGACCATCTGGGTGACTGTGTCACTCCTAACCGTGTGCCTCTTGACCACCTGTGAAGTCCCAGGCTCCCAGGGCAGGTCATCACGGAAACCTGGCCCTGGTCCTCAGCACTGCCCCTCCACTCCATTCCTGTTTCTCCCTCATCCCCTTTGTGTCCACAGCCTTTGCACCCATCCCCTTCGGAGGCATCTACCTGCCCTTGGAAGTCCCTCCCAACAGATGCCACTGCTCGCCTCTGGTCCTCGCCTACGATCAAGCGCATTTTTCAGCCCTTGTGAGCATGGAGCAGAGAGACCAGCAAAGGGAACAAGGTACACTGCCTCTGGCAGACGGGCCCTGGCGCTGGGCGGGCTGAAGAGGCACAGGGGCGGGCTGGGGCAGCTGGCTTCTGAAACACACCCATGCACACACACAGCAGTGGTGTCCTCACAGCTGTGCCTGTGCACACGTCTTCACTCACAATATCCTTCTTAAAATCAGCGTCTCACTTGAAATGCTAACATGAGTATTTCCACCACACTTACAGGGTCTTCCTATTTGTTCCTTCTCACGTGTATGTGTACATTCTTTATTTAAATTAAGCTTATTTTTAACTGATTCATAAAAACATGAGAACTGTACATATTTATGGGACACCATACGATGTTTTGACACACGCATACGTTGTGGATTGCTCAGATCAGGGAAAACATACCTATCTCCTCAAACATTTATAATTTTACAGTGAAAACATTGAAAGTTCTTTCTTCTAGTTTTTTGCAATATAGTTTCCCTGTTTCAGAGTTTTTGAAATCATATCTCAGTAACTATTGTTTACTATATATATTTCATACAGATACATTTTTTAATTTTAAAAACAGAAGAATAAAATGATGATATAGAATTTCAAAACCGAACTACAGGAAATTAACACCTGTTAATATATTGCACATTGTTATCTTCAAAGCAGTTGTTCAGATGACAAGATTTAGGCATAAAAAAAAATGACCCAAACAAACAGTGAAAGTACAAACTATTCTTTTTGATGAACTAATACATTAGTAGTATATTTATCTGTTGTATATACACACAGAGAGAGAAGCTTTTCCCTTTTTTTTCTTCTATCCGTTGTTCTTTCCTTTCGAGTACTTTCTTCTCCTTTCATTTTCATAGTACCATTGTACATTTTGAATGTTATTTACTCTTTCAAACACCAGAAAGACTATGATATTTACACACATGAGCCTGATTTATTTCTTCTGAGTATGGTCTCAAGTTGCATCCATTTACCTATAAAAGCCTCAAGTTTATCTTTCTTTGTAGCTGAGTAATACTCCATTGTATAAAAATACCCATCTTTTTTTAATCCATTCTGCGGGTGATGGGCATTTGGATTCTTTCCAGTGTCTAGTTTCCAAGATCTAGCTGCCATAAACATGGGTGCACATATATTGCTGTAGTATGTCTTCAGTTCTGGGAAAATACCCAGCAGTGGAATAGCTGGATTGCAGTGTGGAGATTCCTCCTGCAGAAACATTTAGCCTTAGATAGAATTTTAAAAGAAAATCGCTCTGGAGTGTGGATTGGCTAACTATGGCCCACCACCTAATTTGTCAATCAGGTTTTATAAGAGCATTCATGTCATCTCGTGAAAGCCACAGTAAGCCCCAAGGAAAGCTAAATGCACAGCCACAGCATTCATGGATGCTCTGTCTGTGGCTGTTTTTGTCCTGCAGCAGCCACAGAGACTGTGTGCCCTGTAAAACCCGAAGTATCTACTCACTACAGAGAAGCCCGCCACTCTTGCTCCAGCGTGGGCTTTGGAATCACTGTCTCCTTTCAGATCACTAAAGCTGAGTTTCCTGCAAGTGGCCGATTCAGTGATGCTGCTGCCCTTGCCAGGCCAGCCCCACAGGCCCTGTTACCGCCACCAGACTGCGAGACCCCCCTTCAGGGCTGGAGTTAGGCGGTGCAGTCAGTGCCTTTGCTGTGAAAGTCAGGCGATTGTGAGCAGCTGCTGTCATCTCTTGTTAGGGCAGAGCTGACTGAGTAGCTGAATAGAGAGGGGAAACCAGAGAATCAGTCCCCCAGGAGACTGAAGGACAGGCAGCAGGGACTAGCTTGAGGCTCTCCTCCACTGGGTGTGGTCCCAGCAAACCCTAAGTGACTCTGCAGGCAGCTGCAGGGCAGGAAGCTCAAGGTGCCTGGTTCTGACCTGGCTCTGAGAATGCAGCATGTAGCACAGAGAGTGAACACAATGACAAATTGCCTCCCTGGGGCTTCCAGATGCTACCCATTCCTGCAGATGGATGGGGCGGAGGGGACTGAGCAGAACAAAACCAGCCTCCTTCTGCCAAGTCCTGGCCTCACAGCTAGAGTCAGGGAATGAGTCTTGGGTCTTCAAGGTTGAATCTGAAACAGAGAAGCGGGGTCATCCTGGCCCCCTTTCCACAGCGGATAGTGACCCCTGAGCTCACGCCTGGGTGCAGTGGTGGATGTGGGTCCCAGAAAGGCAGAAAAGAAAAGGGCTGTCACCAGGGTAACAAGAATAGCTTGCAGTGCTTCGGCAGACCTCCCCCTCTGGAACAGGAAGAAGTGTCTCCTCACTGCCGCCTGGAGACACTTACCCTTCTGTATCTCTCCACTTTTTGCCCAACAGTGCCTGCATCTCCTTCCTGGTCTTTAGCTCTCCTTGGGGCTTACTGTGGCTTTCACGAGATGACAGAGCATCCTTAGTACTTGGGGCCCAGGCCAAGGGCTGGGTCCCCCTCCCAGTGGAGGCACTGTGAGAGGAGAGGAGGGTATTTCATACATAAGGAGCCTGAGGTCCACTCCAAAAGCAGGAAATCTGGTCATCATGTCCGAAATCATCCTGAAATTTTTGTGACCAACCAAGGTGACACTCAGATCCATCAGTAGCTTACCCAGTATGTGGGCTCCCTGGTCCTAACACTGCCAAATGCTGACCCCTAGGCCCAAACCTCTTAGTGACTTGTTTTAAAACATAATAATCTGTGGGTTGTAGTTCAAAGCTCAAAGCAGACTTTGGAATGTGGCTGCTTCTGACAACTCTCCCCCTGGGAAAGGGGTGACCATCTGGGTGGCCCAACAGACCAAAGGCAGAGCCCCAGGTCCTGTGGTCAGGGCATTTGTGTAGCATGCCCTTTGGAATGCTTCCTAACTTGTAATAAGGCCAGCTTACTACCCTACCATTAGGGGAAATAAAAGGAAGCTGATTGTGTCAGCTTTCCATCATATAATGACATCCTTGAGGCAGTTAACTCATAAAGAGAAAAGGGTTTTAGACTTACAGTTCAGAGGTTCCAGTGTCTGGCTTATTGTCCCTGTTGATCTGGGCCTGTGGTAAGGCTGTTACCATAGTGGGAATGCATGCTGACCACACCCATTCACATTAGGAGCCAGGGAGCAGAAAGTGGGAAGGGGCCAGGGTCCCACTCCTCGTGGAGAGGACACCACTGAAGACCTAGGACCTCACAGTAGTCCTCCCAGGAGCACCACTTTAAGACCAAGCCTTTATGATGTCATCCAAACACAAGGACCCAGCGACCTATCTTCATGTGCTTTTGTGCATCCATGCAGTTCTGGGACTGAAGCATGAAATTGTGTTTCACATTGTCAGTGCAGCCACACTGAAATCTTCAGGGAAGCATCCAGAGCCTGGCCAGTATGTGTGGCATCCTGTGTCTGAGTGCTGTGTGCTCAGGCAAAGGGACACGTGTGCTGAGCTGCCACTGCGGCCACCTCAAGGCATTTACTAGTTGGTGGCAGGATTTTCCAAAATGCTAATTCTCACTAAAGTTCCTAATGAGCTGAGCACAGCCCTGTCTTGTGTGCTTGAGATCTCCAGCAAGTACACTCAGTGTGCACCGACTGGCACCAGGCTCAGATGGGTGTTGAAAGAGGCAGGGAGGGGTGCACAGAGCCACAGGGTGGTCTGCCCCCATGCAATTCTAGGTTACTCCTGTATACCCTCCGCCCCCAGCCAGGAGTCACTGGCATGGAGTGTTGTTAGGACAGTTTGGTGGAATGGTTTGTGGGCTGCCAAGTGACCTGGTCAAAGTGTGTAGTGATGGGGAACAGGCAGGCACCAGAACAGAGGTTCATGATGTGGGACTCCAAGTCAAAGCTTGCTTAGAATGAAACAGCATCTCCCATCTGATGACACAGGGACCCCAGCAGGGGGGAAGCCAGGCCCAGGATGCTTTGCTTCATGAAAGACAGCATGTAGTTCTGTTCTTCTTCAAAAATTCAATAAAGGTAATTATTAAAGTAGATTTTCCCTCTAAATGCAAACAGCCTGTGAGCCACAGAAAGGGGAGGGAGCCCTAAACTTGTCCCTGATACTTCCCCAGGGGCCCTGCTCATTAAGCCCAGAGAGTGGTGAACTGCCAAGCCTTAATGAGTCCACTGGTGAGAGATAGAGGGGAGAGGCTAAGATGACAAGCAGGATGGGCCAGCTCCACACCAGCTAGGGCAGGGGCTTACGGAAGGGGACTCCAACGTTGGCTACTGGAACAGAGTTGGAACAGGCTCAACACACCCAAAAGGTGATGCTTGCAAAAACAAAAAAAGAAAGGAAAAGGAAGGAAGGAAGGAAGGGGAATCGAATGCAAAGAACATAATCTCATGCTTGAAATCTTATGCTTGCAACCTTGTCTCACTTAAAAGCAACACAGAAGCTTTATGAAAGTAAGCATTTTATAAAGATGATCCTGGAGGAGGCAGGGAGGAAGCATGAAGAATACTTCTACCCAGCAGGCCATGAAAGCAGTTTGCATCTGTATCTGATGCATAACTCATAGCTAAGCAAACGTTACCTGTCCAGTAGACTGGGAGAGCTTTGTAATCCCTTTTTGTTTCTGACGGTGCTGGTGATCAAATCCAGGGCTCACACCTGCTAGCAAGGTCCCTGCCATTGAGTTCCATCCCAGCCCCAGGTTATAACATATATTCCAGCACATGGATAATCCGTGCTTTATAACAAGCAGAATTTTAAATAGAAATTTTTATTACCATGTTATATTGTTAAGTATTTCTCTTAGTTTCATGATGTGATTTCATTAATATAGATCTAAAATTGATTATTGCCTCAGAATCACTTTTTTATCCAACAGTAAGCAAACTAGCACAACTGTATCCCTGCCTGGGTACAAAACTGGAGAAAATATATGACACCACCTATCATGGGTAGCATAGGTGAGTCTGTGGTGGCAAAGGCTTTAGAAACCACAAAGCACCTTAGCAATAGGAGCTGCCTTCCTTGTCTCTGTGACTGGCCTCTCTTCTCTTCCGCTGATTTCCAAGCTCTCCA